TTCTTTCATCTTTCCAGTTTCTCATTCACTTTTTCAGAGCTTTGCATTTGTTTGGGGTTGGTTTTCTTTTTTTTTTTCCTTTATTTCTCGCTGGCACACAACGTTCCGTCTCTCTCAAAATGTTCAGGCGTTTGCCAGTGTGTTTGGGGATATTTTCTTTCACTTTTTCCCTTTGTATAAGAAAATATACTATTTGTAAAAAGCCTACGGTCTCTCTCACACAGGGAAGCCGGCGGGGAGGGGGAGTTTGGCCGGATCGATCTGGCAATGCTTACGGCAGCTGAAACCAGCACCAAATTCTCCGAGAAACGTATTAAACCAGAGCCGAACAGGTCTGCGTGATAAACCGGTCAGAAAGAGATGAGCAGGGGAAGGGAATAAGCCCTTTGGGCACAGCTAAAGGTCTTAAAACCATCCTTCCCCCCCTCCCTCCCAGCCCCAAATGCAAATTTGGGGATTTTGGGGGAGGTTGGTCTGGGATGCAAAGGGACTTGAAACAGCTTCTCACAGAGAATTTCTATTAGGTGGGACAAGACACGACCCGATTTTAAAGAAACCATCGGGTTGTAAAAGGATTCCCATAAAATTGGCTTCTTGTTTCCTTCACACCTTGTGTGAATAACAACCAGGGAAAAAAAAAATCAGGGAGCATACAAACCCAAAAGATCTTTCCAATGGAAAATAGAGAATTGTTATATAAAAAAAAAAAAAAAAAAAAAAAAAAGTGAGACTAAGAATGAAATAAAATTTACAGCAACCCACCTGTTTGGTTTGAAAACAAACTTTTCATGGTCTCTCCTCAAACTTTTCCCTTGAGTTAAAAAGCAGAGCTGCTGTGTTAATCCTCCTGTTTATTGATTTATGATCCCGAGGAAACCAAATCTTTTAATAACTCAATTATCAGATAAACGTCTGAGGTGCCCCGCCAACACAAGTAGTCGGGCTGGGAAAGTGCAGGGGAGCAGGAAAATGCCTTCCAGTGGGAGGCTGAGTTTAGTTTTTGGGGGACCTCAGTCCTCAGCGCTGACGGATGCCACCAAGCACTGGGTATTTCCCTCTAGGACCAGCACTAGGCTAGGGGGAAGAAAAGATGGATATACACCTATGCCATGTTTTCTCCTGGTTTGCATTCGAATCAGAATCCTCATGGATTTGGTCTCGACACTTTGAGGAGCAAACAGGGGGCATCCCACTGAAATCCATGGGAATATTGCATTTGGTTTTATTTCGCCCAAGCGAAGCACAGCCTGGCGTTTGCAGTCTGTCTCTTCCAGGTAGAAGGCACGAGGGGCAGATCCAAAGGTGCCAGGAGTCAACTCAAACTCTTCCCTCAACCTTCTCAAGGCTTAGGCCCTGGTCCAGGTGATCAAACCTGTGCCTAGGGGAGATTTCAGCAGCAGCAGCAGGATCAGGCCCTCACACATGCGTGTACATGTGTATATGTGTGTGCAGCTCTTTCCCCAAGAAGTTGCAAGCGGTTCCCTCTCCTCATTTACTCACAGTGGTGGTGGGATACTGTCCTCTGCAGTTAAAAGGAGCATCCTCAACATCTCCCCAAAGACAAGGAAGGAGCATCCCCAACCTCTGCCCAAAGACAAGGAAGGACCATCCCAAACATCTCCCCAAACACAAGGAAGGACCATCCCAAACATCTCCCCAAAGACAAGGAAGGACCATCCCCAACATCCCCCTCAAAGCCTTCAGCTGGAAACTCCGGGGAGGCAGCGAGCAGGTCCCCGTCTCCCCGCGTGTGCAGCTGGGGAGGTGGAAGACTGAGAGCTAACTTGGGGTGTCCCCACACCCAGGAGCCCCACTGGGCTGGGTGATGCTGAAGGGCTGGGCCCACAAGGGCTTTTTCCAGCAGGCAGGCAAAGCAACCTTCAACACTTTGTGCTCTGCTTCAATAAACAGAATATTCTTGTCAGGCAGAGAAGGGGGATGTGCTTTCAGGTGGTGCCGTTCATTCCTCCCCAGATAGACGCACGCGTGCCCCTTGCCTTTCCCGTGCATCACTGCTGGGGCATGCCCTGCACTGGAGCTTGGATTGTCCTTCCCCAGGGGCCTGCTGAAACTGGGGGTGGTTGGCAAGGGCTAGGCTTTGGAGGACCATGGGCCTCTTCAGTCTGAGGGTCCCCAACTTACTGGTGGGGGAATCCATGAGATCTACGTCACCCAGGGATCCACACCTCCTCTGGTGACATCTGCAGGTATGAGCCCATTATCAAACCCACTGCCAGTGACCCGCCAGGGTCAAAGACTACCTCCAACTCATCCCAGCAGCCCATGGAGAAGGCTACCTGCCTCAGTTTCCCTCTTTTCTCACAGGAGGATCCCCACAGCACCCTGCCCCAGAAGGACCAAAGGTAAATGAATGAGAAGCAGCTCCTGAGGAGCCAGTGCTCCTTGGGGCTGGATGATTCCTGGGTTTCTATTGCCACACGTGTGTCCGACTCACAGGTAGGGAACAAGAGCTGAGACCTTCGCTTGCTGCACAAGGATTTGAAAAGCAGAGCAGGCCCTCGGCTGTAGCCATTTCTCAGAGAGCTAAGGACACTAAGGGTGACAATCAAGGGGCTGGTTTTCTTTTTTTTTTTTTTACAAACATTTTGTCAGGGGACTTTGAGAGTATTGCTGAATTATTTCTCTCCCCCCAATCCAGTTTGGATGGTATCTAGAAACTAAAGCAAGGCTAAGGCTTCTCTTTTCTCTCTCCTCATTCTGAGTTCAGGTGTGCCTGCTTGGGTGGGTGGGATTGAGTGCTGAGGCTTTAACAGGAATCCTGGGGACAGGGCGGGGGGGACTGACCCCACTGGAGTTTTGCCAGTGACTCCAGGAGATTTACCCACACCCAGTAACTGTTCTGACATAAGCAAAAAGATGTGTTAGTGCACGAACCCTACCCCCACTGAGAAACGCATGCAATTACCCAATACGGCAGAATCCAAACAGAAATTCATATCCTTACACTTCGGCATTATTTTTACCACAGAAGACAAAGAAATGTTTATTAAAAAAAAAAAAAAAAAGGAAAGAAAACAGACTTCCCCTCCACCCCCACCCCCAAATCATACGCATAAGACATCCTGTCACACACCAAACCACCGAGAAAAACATTGGAGTTCAGAAGTCTTTTCCCCCTACCACACCGACTTGTTCTAAAGCAAGAGTCACAAGACTTTTTTTTTTTTAAAACAAAAAAAAAAAAAAAGCTTTCTAAGAGAAACAGATTTCCTCAGACTGAGCTCCGAAATCAGGATATTCCCTGGCAAGCCCTCCCCGCTCCCATCACGAGGAGCCAGCTCACATGGAACCCTTTCCTCCCTGGGTACAAGACCCTCGTGCCAAGCAAGCGCGGTAACATCCAACACAGCTCTTATTTTCTTTGCGATATTACACCTCGATTTCGACTTGTGTTTTTTTATCTCATTCAAATTATTCCCTTTGAGCTTCTTTAAAGAAGTGCACCTACAGAATTCGGAAACAACTGGCTTTGATTTGAAAAAGCAGAAAGAAAAAAAAAAAAAGAAAAGTATCAGAATATCAGAATTGTGGATTTTTTTTCTCTGTACCTGATATATTGTGTAGGGATCTCTAGTCCTCTTTGAAGAAGCTCATAAGCCAAGCGGGCAAAGCTTTAGGAAACAGAAGAAAATAAAATAGTGCATACTCCTGAGAAAGAATTACATACTCATATCACTCATTTTTTGTTGTTGTTAACAGTTCTTTAAAAATGGGGGAAGCTCTCTCTCACACACACTACTCAAGGAAATTAAGGACTGAGACATTGGCATAGTTAGGAATATAAAACTCCCTAGAGAAAAAGAGGAGATCTCAGAAAATTAAGAAATCAGATAGCGCTGTTATTTTACCAGACCTTACTCGCAAATTTTGCAACCCGTTATGGCCAAGGCATTTTACCGTCAAAGGCAAGTCCTAAATTACAAAGGTATGTTTGCATGCATGAATATGTGCGGCTATACACACATATTAAATATATATATGTATATAGTCATGTATATACATATATATACACAAACATACATAGGATACACACGCACCCCTGGCAGGTTATGTGCGCGCATACGCATATGCACGCACATAGGCACACACGCACGTACACACCTGTAAACGCTGGTAAGCTAAACTGAGAGTCTGTCTAGACCAGGAAAAAAAAAACCCAAAAAGTTCTCAAAACCCAGAGTTAGCTAATTTGACTGAGCTACGACGACTCGGAACTTCCCTTCTAATGGCATCTCACGTTAAGACGCTGCCATGAACGCAGCTCGAACTGGCTGGTGTCGAAGACTTCGTGAGAGGTCCGTGCGCTCGCCTCCCCTCCTTTCCTAGTCTAGACAGAACCAGGGTGGTGAGATGAGATGGGAAGAGTTAGGGGGAATGAGGCGATGGGGTTGCTCAGAAGGGAATGCTCTGGAAGAACGTTTTAGCTAAGGTGGAGACAGGACGTCGTTCAAAAGAAAAGAAAAAAAAAAAAAAAAGAATAGAGAATGAAATAAAAATAATAGCAAGACAGACCGTGCAGCTCAAGAAATCAAAGCACTGACACCAAAAATGTTTCTCCAATTTCTTCCAATAAGTTATTCATGTCTTTCTTTTATTATTATTATTAATTATTATTATATTCCCCTCCCCCCCAAATCATTATTTAAAAAACGTGAAAGAACAGAAGTGGGAAAAAAATCCTGGTGGTTGTCTTCACATGTTCCTGGCAAGAGACTCTGAACCACTGGTCTTGCGCCATTGTGCTCCTCTGATCTTAAATTATTGTCTTTCTTTTATTATTATTATTTTTATTTTTATTATTATTATTATTTTGTCCTACCTAACAGAATTCTTCCAAAGCCCAATCCAGTATTTTTAAAGCTAAAATTAAGACGGTTTTGTTTTAAAAGATTCTCTCTCTCTTTTCTCCTTTTATTTATTTAACTTTTTTCCTTTTCCTTTCTTTTTTTTTTTTTTTTTCCTCTCTCTCTCTCTCTCTCTCATTTTCTGTGTTTCTCTTCCTTGTCTCCAGTTTTACTACCTGGTCCTTCGCCAGATGTGTGCCTGTTAGCAGTGTTGTTGTTCAAGAACATCTTGTCCATGCCTTTGAGAGCTTCAGTCAGGTAGTTTTGAAGGGCCGTGAGGGCAGCGCAGATAGCGGGGGCCCCAAAGCCGTGAGTGATGAGGCTGAAGTGAGTCAAGCAGCTCTGAATGCCCGGTTCCAAAATAGGGGTGGGCCGGCTGTTTCCAATGGGCGTCCTGTCCTGGGCCAAGAGATCTGTAAATTCTTTACAAAGTTGCCTGCGCGGAAGAGAGGAAGGCAGAGAGAGGGGGGAGAGAGAGAGAAAAGCGGTGGTTAGGCTCATCCCACACTTCTCCGAGACAACCAAGGTTGAAGGAAGGGGCAGGTTCAAGCCAAAGCTGATCCCAAGACCAAGGATAGGACATTTTTGCCACCTTCCTTTCCCCCAACAGTGCTTGGGGACTGGCCATGGTGAGCTAGCATCTCCCTGCTCAGGTTGATGTTTTCCAGGAGAGAGGTTTCTGCAATTGCAGGATAACACCAGGCCTGGAGACAGAAATCCCTCCAGCAGCCACAAGGATGCTTCTGAAGCACAGTGAAAACCCAGGCCTGCTCAGTGGCTCTAGAAATAACCAGGCTGAAAGGGTGATGTGCCATGGGTCTGCCAACCACCCGTCTTCCTGGAGGTCCAACCCTAGCTCAAAACAGCTCCCACTGATGCTGTTCCCAGAGGAAAGCACAACCAGGAATGGAGAGCTACTGGGTGGCACAGGGACACGGTGCAGGGAAGGGCCAAAATGGAGCCCTCTCTGAGACTGCTCAGGCTGGGCCACCTTATGGAGAAAGATCAGGACTTTGGAAGTTTCATGCCAGCTTATTCATTGCATGAGGAGCAAAGCTAGCATTTCCTATTTTATTTTGGGGGTGACATCCCAATTAACACATCAGAGTTGACATCTGGCTCTTGTTTGCTTGCCCACGCCTTTGAAAAATCAGATTTGATTTTTATAATAGATCCACACACACATTTTCTTTTGCGTTGCTCTGGTCCAAAAAGCCTTCAAGTCAACAGGTGCCTGGGCAATGTAGAAACCCTGGGGGCTGGAGCGGGTTCCCAAAGGAATAGTTTCTTTGAGACAGGGACTGGAGAAAAAGGGGTTGGAATTTTAAAAAAAAAAAAAAAAAGGAAAGGAAAGGAAAAAAGAAAACCTTAAAAAAGGCGTTCAGCTCTCATCCTCTGAAATTCTCTGAAATTCCCAGTGGGTTAAAGGTTTCAGAAGGTGGGGAAAGATAAAGGTCTGCTTCTATGTGTATTATCCATTAAGAAAGTGCAAGAGAGGAAACTTTGAATTTGGAGAACAAACAGTAATGAGTCCAACATTTTACATCTTCAAAGAGCAAAGCAGGGTCTGTGAGCAATTAAAGTTCTGGGACATTAATATCTTCTGACCCTGCAGAAAAGGGCAATCAAATTCCAATCACGTCTAAAAAACATCTGGACAAATTTGAGCAAATGATTTTTCAACCCTCCATATATTTCTTTAAATTACACTGTCATCGGAGGCAAGCCACATCCCAGAGCATGAAATAAATGAGAGCTGTTTGGGCTGGTATTTTTTTTTTCTTTTTCTTTCTTTTTTTTTTTTTTTTCCGCTTTTTTTTTGCCAGATTGATGGAGATGTGTGGAGACACACAGCACCCACCGCTGAGGACCTGAGTAAACTATGAAGCACCCAGTTAGGAGCCTGGGAGGCACAGCCAAGTGAAAATCATCTGACACAGCGCATCCACCGGGAAAATCCCAAGGCAGAGAGATGGGTTGAGAGGACCAAGCTGAGGATAACTAGCGGTACATGATGGTGGGGGTTTTTCTTGGGGTTTTTTTTTGCCTTTTTTTTTTTTTGCCTTTTTTTCCTTTTTTTTTTTTTTTTTTTTATTAAATCATATGGAAAAGACACTGCAATTTTGTAGCAGAGAAACAGGGAGGGGTGAGCAGCAGGAGGGACAGACAGACATGCTGTGGAAGCAAAATACAGACCTTTGGTCCCCTTTCCATAAAGACTGTTGAACTGGGGGTGGCTTGGAAACGATGCACAGTAGCTAGGGGACAGCCCCCTCCATCCTAGGGGTGCTGGCAGAAACCCCACTGCAGAAGGGCACAGGGGCTATAGGGTCTGCCCTGCCTATAGGGTGATATGAGCATCCTTCCTCCCCGCGGGGCCGGTATAATTTGGGGACTGGAAACACCGTCTGCGTTCAAAACGAGCTCAGAGGAAGAATTTGAGGAGGAGGAGGAGGATTTTCTGGGGGGAGGGTGGGAGAGGGGGGGTAGTCAATAGTCAACTTGGCACTCACTTTGTAGCAAGCAGCATGTTTTTCCTGGAGTGGAGGTCGCTGGGGTCCGTGTGCTGTCTGTTCAGGTACTCAGAAACAGCTTTGGCTGGGAACTCCGTTTCGCAGATGTACCCAAAATCCCGAGCTAAATGAACGGCCTCACCTGGAGGGAATGAGAAGGGGCATTAACACCTCCGGGCCCCGGCGGCCCCGGGCTGGGCTGGCTCCGACCTGCCCCTGCCCACCGCCCCCTCGGGGAAGGACCAGCTCTTTCGGGCCATAAGGTTCAGAAACCTTCTAACATCCCCTGCGCCTCAGGGACAGGCTCCAGGTATAGCTTTTCTTTCCACAAGCCCGATTTGGGGGGCAGAAGTAACTTTATGGGGCAGATTTTCAGGTGATGAGGTTTGCCTATGCTACAACATACCATGGTATGGACCCACGCAGCTGATCGTGCAGAACAGTGGGAAAAGTGCACACACACACACACGTAACATATACATACACACACACACACACACACACACTTTCGAATGATCTGGGCCAAAAAAAAAACAAAAAAAAAAAAAAACAGGGGAAACTTAAAGCCTGAAAGACAGAAAGATCCAAACTTCCCTTAAGAGCAAAGACACCGATCCGGTGGGAATACCCCAAAAAGCTGTCCATAATTTTACAGATGTGGACATAATGCTAATATTAATGGCAACTCTTTGGGGGCCATTATCTACACACTTGTTTATGCACACACGCAGAGCACTTGCATCGTTATCACAATTATCGCCACATCTGTAAAATGATGGAGATAACGGCATTTCGTCCGGTGGAAATTCTTAAAGCTGCTTTCTCAACTGACCATCATGCAACAGGAACTCCTCTCTGCCCGATGATGCTAATGGCAACCTTTTCTGTGAAAAATAATAATTATTCTAATTCTAATCGTCACTTTTCCTGCCTGCCTGGTTTCAGGTTTCTTGCCTCCAGAGGTTCGTGTCATCCAACTCCTACTGATGTACTTTATGCCACAAGAAGACGGTAGCTGAAGAAAGGAGGAAAAGAGGAGGGAGGAAAAAAAAAAAAACCCTCCGACTCTAGGGGGATTCCACCAGATTATAGCTCAGCCCCTCTAGAATAAAGCATTAAACCCTTTAAAGCACCGCCTGAGGGACCAGGGGGAAGATTTCCAACACGCAAAACAGATATGTCTAATAACTCCAGGACCACATTATTTTTAACGATCAGGAGTTGCTTTCCAACGTCATCTTCTGCTTTCCAAGGCTTCTCGCTAATCAGCAAACCGCTTAATGAAAGGCGGGGGGGGGGGGGGGCGGGG